CGCATTCACAAGGTATTTTATAAATGCAATTCTTTGTCCTGACTTGTTCATTGTTAGGTTTGGTTTTGGATAAAATAGATCTCAACGTATTTGTTGTTTTGATTTTTGTTGAAATGTTGAATTTATTTTCTATCCTATTCAGTTTTTCTGATAATCCTTTTATGTATGGTATTATTATTTTCCTCGTATTATTTGTTGTGTATGCTGTAGGATCTAGTTCTAAGTTGTTCTGTTCTATTCGATCGATTGTTGAAAATTACTTATTTATAAAAGATAAAGAATAATCATTTTTTAATAAAACAGATGTTAACAAATGTTTCTCCTCCAAGAACGAAGTTTCGTTACAACAAGTAATTTTAGATCTATCGTGTAAGGATTTAATGATTCCCTTTTTAATATTAATATTGTGATTTTATTTGAAATTTAAATATCTGTTGGTGTGTGTTGGTTTTCTATACACCTGAGTCTCATATCCAGTATCTCTATTATTCTCAAGTAAAAGTTGATTTCATGTAATCGAATTAACTATCTTATAAGTAAAGTCGTCCTAGGAGCGAACTCAACAATATTGGCAATATTATTTTAAATGTATGTCTGAATTGTCAATATATATGACAAAATTAAATTGTTAGAATTTTTCACTAAGTAACAAACAAAAACAAAATTTGTCCGAAGTGGAAATTGAAACGTCAATAAACGTATTTCAACCTTTAATTGTGGCTTATTCCCATTTAAATAGTAATTATTTCAAGATTGTATATGGTACTTCTTTATATTACGTGTACATAAATATAAAAAATGAAAAAAAAAAACACAATCAAAATTTTTTCGAGAATAATAGACCTATTGTTAAACTGAAATCACAGGCAATAAAGATGATGATGAATACAAAGACCTTTGTAATTCCTCCCGGTTAAATATTATGTTAAATGTTTTCAATTGAAACTGCATATACTCTAAACGACTGACAGGGCAAAGTTGATAAAATATGCAAATAAATGTCCAGAGTGTTAAAAATATGCAAATTTTATGAATTCACAAAAAAATGCATTAAATTACAAGATGCATATTAGCTCTTTACTTACGACCTTTGAAAATGTATTAGTTTATGAACACTATATACTATATATTGTTCTGAAGCTATTTTCTTGTGGCATTGTAAATTAATTACTATTAAACTGGGAATAAGCCACAATTAAAGATAAAATACGTTTATTGACGTTTCAATTTCCACAGGAATAACTTAGAACGAGATCCTACAGCATACACAAGGAATAATATGAGGAAAATAACAATACCGTACATAAAAGGACTATCGGATAAACTTAAAAGGATAGGAAATAAATTCAACATTTCAACAACATTCAAAACAACAAATACGTTGAGATCTATTTTGTCCAAAACCAAACCTAACAATGAACAAGAAAGGACAAAGAATTGCATTTATAAAATACCTTGTGAATGCGATCAGTTTTATTTAGGTGAATCATCAAGGCCATTAAATGTTAGAATAAGTGAACATCAATCTTATATTAAAAATAGGGAATTCGATAGATCTCAAATCTGTAAACACGCATGGGATAATGAACATAGGGTTCAATGGAATAATTCAAATGTAGGCCTAAAAGAAACGGATGGTAAAAAAAGAAAAATCAAAGAAGCGGCTCTAATTATGCTAAATGAGGCCAATTGTGTCGCAAATTCCTCGGCAGAATGTAGTAGGATCTGGTTACCAATATTGAAAGAGGAAGTTATTAATAAGAAAATACCAGTATTAGTAAGTCAGTAACATATAGAGGATACATCATTTATGTTTTTTTTTTTAAATAACGTAACATATAAAATCAGAATTTTGATGTTTGTTGAAGGTAAACTAAATTCACGAACAAATACTTACAATGTCGGGATAGTATTATGAGGTTTTTTTCCTGGTTTTTCCCTCATAATTTACTATGGAATCACTAACAGGAGAATTTTACTGTCATCATGTCATGTGTTTGTCTTTTAAAAGACAAATTACATGCTATGATTTTTTTCTGACGGATATTCTCGAGTTAAAGTTGATTTCATGTAATCGAAGGAACTATCTTATAAGTAAAGTCGTCCCAGGAGCGCAACTCAACAATATTGGTAATATTATTTTAAAGTCGTCTACTTTAAAATGCATAATGTATGTCTGAATTGTCAATATAAATGAGTCAGATAAAATTAAATTATTAGAAAAATTTTTCACTATGTAACAAAAAACAAAATTTGTTTAATTTACTGTTTGTATTTTGAGAACGATTTCCGAAGTGGAAATTGAAACGTCAATAAACGTATTTTATCTTTAATTGTGGCTTATTCCCAGTTTAATAGTAATTAATTTACTACATATATACTATATCAACACATTCCATTCTGTGCAATGTCTTATTAAAATAATGTGCTCTCACTTTCATTCGACCAGCCGAGCTACGTCAAAATAATTTCAGTGGTTACTCTTATAGTTTATTTTTATGAACGAGAGAGTAATTAGCATAATTTTAACTGGTACCTTCGACCACTCCATGGGCGTGCTCAAGATTAATTGAAAAATTACTTTGAATAATTGTAAAAAATAAATGAATTATTTCAGTGTTATAAAGTGTTATGTGTATGTTAACAAAAGTGACCTCTTTTATCACACACTATATTAGAACTGACTGGCCTACATTAAAAAGGGTTTTAAAAAATTCACATTTTTTTTAATTTTTAAAAATTACAAAAGAGAAAAAGAGTTTTTAAAACCGTCTAAGGTATGTTAAATAGATGAATAAAAATGTTAATATAAAACTTACAGCTACTTGTTACAAATCCAAATCAGATTCAGAAGATGATCTTTCAGAACCAAGATTTATAATAACTGGCTCGATCATTTTATCAGTAATATTGTCCAGCTTCCACATTTTTTCCTCTTCTTTAATAGTGTGATTTACTGCATTTTCCCAGTTTTCAGGTTTTACATTATTTTCGGCCTCCAAAAACAACTGTTTAACATCATGAATTTTAAAAGTGGTATTTTTTCTTGAAACTTCAGTTTTTATCTGTGCCCATACCAGTTCAATCGGGTTTAATTCACAATGATATGGTGGGGATCCAAGTATTGTCATTCCACGATTTTTGGCAATTTCATCAATTTCGTATTTTTTAAATTTTTCTTTATGAAGGGCACACAACGAATAAAGTTCCTTTTTTATAGATCCGGGATGGTACGTAATAGTTTTTGAACTCCGCCAATTCTGCAAGTCTTTTTTTAACCACTTGGTTGTGGGCAGTCCTTCTATAAGTCTGGAGTGATAACTTGCATTATCCATTACTATTACACAGTTCTTAGGAAGAAGATCTATCATTTGTTCGAACCATTCTTGAAAGACATCAGCCTTCATGTCTTCATGGTAGTCACCGGTACGAGTTGATTCAAAAGTTAATAAACCACCTTCAACAAAACCGTCTGAACTGCCAATGTGTACTATTATCAGCCTGCGTCCCTTTCCTGATGGTGGGTTTAAACCAGTAGATAAGTTATTTACAAAAGCGTGCCTTTGACTTGTAACAGTTTCATCCTGCCAAAATTTATTTGGTGTATGACCCTCGTTGATCCATGTTTCATCAAGATAAAATATTTTTCTTTTTTGGTTTCTCATTTCTTTTATGGTTCTTAGAAAATGTCTTCTCCATATGACAATATCGCTTCTTTCTAATAAAATAGACTTTCTGTGATTCTTTTTCCAGCGGAAGCCTATTTCTTTTAAAAGTTTCCATAACGTACTTCGACTCATTTCTGGGTAATACTTATCATCTCGAACTGAGACAAGGAACTTTATCCAATGTTGGAAATTCTTGTCTAAAGAAGAATTCATGCAGTTTCCGTCGAAGTCCTTCTTTAAAATGATATTCTATTTGAAATTTTGGTTTCCCTGGAGCATTACGTGGCATTTGAAAACTACCACATTTCTCTTCTTTAATAACTCTGAAAATCGTAGATTTCATAACACCAAGTGTACTGCTAACTAACTCAACGGTCTCATCAACACTTTCACATAAACGTTTGTCTGTAAATGATTTAAAACAATTAAATATTAATGTTTTTTCATTAACTGTTAAAGGACCAATTTTTCGGCGTTTACACGGCACTTCCAAATTTTTCACTAGTATACACAATAAACTGCACCTTGCAACTGAAGTACCTACTTTTAGTGAACTGTTAAGAATGTCGAATACGCCACTTGGACCTTCCTACAAAATGGAAAAACCCACTATCACATTTTCTGTGGAATAAGTTTAGAAGGTAATTATCTAGTCAATTACTGTCGTAGATTTCTGGAATTAAAGAATTAAATGTTTGATTGTTGAAACCCTTACTTCGTGGAATGCACGTGGAGTGCAAAATAAAACGTTTTATTTTATCTAAAGAATTAAACTTTATTTTGCAAATAGGTAGGTACTTATTAAACTTTTATTGGTTATATATAACCAATAAAATAAACATCTTACATTTCTTGCAAATTCATTAGTACCTGTTAACCTCCATCACTCCGACACTGGCAACCTCATTTAGGAATTAGTAACCCTCACAAGTATTGTATTCTATTCTGCTCCAACCTTTATACCTGGTGGTCATACTCAATTTAAAATTATTTTCCTATATACTTCTGTAAACTTGTTGACAAATATCTGTTTTTCATTGAGTCACCCGTATCAACAGTTTAGGGATTTGCATACATAATTTATTGTTTTATTACTCTATCATACATAAAAATACACTATAGTTATCTAATTGTTTTATTTGAATTAACTTAAAACATTATTTTTAATTTCCATGTCATTAATCATTAGTTGATCATTAGATGGCGAGACAAGTTAATTTAAAGAACAAAACTTGTCTTCCATTTAACAATTAAACATTTCCCATTTATCGTCATTGGAATTTATTGATATTTTGTGAATAATATTTACTATACGTGGTAATTTTGTTTCAGATTTTTGATGTTATGTCTCAGATTATCCCAACTGCTTTTGTACTCGGTACGGGCTACTGGTCGTTCTACAATACAACGACGCATGAAAAACCGTTGTGCGTTTGTGGACGTTTTGATCTCCCTTGTAGACACAATTTAAATAAAAATAATTGGATTGATATGCGGCGACTGTCATCTCCATCGGAACGGGTAATATTTTACCCAAACCGCCATGGACCTGTTAAAGTCGAAGTAAGTTCTTTTTTGATTTGACATCAAAATATTTTTCAATACATCACTTGCTGGATTTATTTACCACAAAGGAAAATGTTAATACATACACCTATTATTTTTTGCCCTCGATTATTTTTTATGTCGGTCAGATTGCCACGCAAACCAGATTACTGAATTACCAATCACATTCACAAACAACAGTTGTCTGGAATAGTAAAGATCTCTGTAACAAACAATTGTATTTCTTGTAGTCGATTTCTTTGACTTATTCGACTATCAGCAAAAAGTGAAGCATTTGAAAGAAATTTAAGAGTAAGCCATATAAAATTCTTCCAAATAGGTGTTTTTTACTACATGTTTATAACCTAATTTGTTGATTATTAAAATAACAAGTAATTCGTAAATTTCCGTGTTTTGTATATAATAACATGTTGACAACTTTTCTTAAAATCAACATATTCATACTACACGGAATGTTGGATCCTGCAGTTGTTCCTCCATCCTTTTATTTCTCTCCTAATGTCTACGTTCCTCACTCTATTAAGTATTTTCTTCTTTAAGTGTCGTCTCCCAATCGGAGGTTGGATGTCATCATCACTATCTTTACTCTATCTACTGCTGCTCTGAAGAGTTCTATAGGACTACATTTAAACCAGTCCCTTAAATTCTTCAACCTTAACACTCTCCTGCTTCCTATACTCCTTCCTCGCCTTATATTTCTCTTTATTATCAGCCTTAGCAGTTTTTATCTCTGTCCCCTGATTACGTGTCCCAGATATTGTAACTTTCTTATTTTTATTGTGTTTATTATTTCGCATTCTTTGACCATTTCTCGCAATACTTCCGTGTTAGTTTTCTTCTGTATCTATGCTAAGCATCCTCCTGTAACACCACATTTCAAAGGACTCTAACTTATTTATGTATTCTTACTTCAATTTCCAGCTCTCAAGTCCATATTGCAGTATCTCAAACACGTAGCATCTTAGTGCTCTTACTCTCAGTTCTAATCTAAAGTCTTTGTTGCAGAGACTTGTTTTCATTTTTACAAACGCATTTCTTGCTGTTTCTATCCTGGCTCCGATTTCGGTTTTTTGATCATTATTGTCAAATCCAGGTTCCTAGGTATTTAGTTGTATTTATCAACCCTTTCTATCGGCATATTTCCCAAATGTATGTTTGTTGGTATATTTGTTTTCTTTGTTATTATCATGTATTTGGTCTGTTTATATTCATTTTTAGTCCATATTTTTCGCAGAAACTGTTTGTTTTGTTTAGCAGTAATTGGAGTTGTTCAACCGAGCTTGCCATAATCACGGTGTCATCTGCATATCTTATGTTGTTAATAGATCTTCCGTTAATTATTTTTCCTTCACTTTGAGATAATAATGCTTCTTCACAAATGGCTTCACTATATACATTAAATAGTAATGGACACATAATACATCCCTGCCTAACTCCTCTCCTGATTTCAATTTCTGGACTGGGTTTGTTATTTATTACGATTTGTGCTCTTTGATTTCAGTAGAGGTTTGTTATTATTCTCGTAAGTCCCTATGGTCTATGTTTTTTGTCTTCAGAATTTGGACTAATTTTTCATGTCTTACTTTGTCAAATGCTTTTTCAAAATTAACTTAACATGCTCATCCTCATTTATATCCATCATATGCATCTTTGAGTTAACACATTAAAAGCAAATAACGCTTCTCTAGTTCCTAGTTCGTTTCTGAACATAAACTGACTATCATCTATCCCTTTTTCCAGTTTTTTATTTATACGACCATGTATTATTTTAAAGCATAATTTGAGAATGTGACTTATTGGTGATATTGTTCTGTATTCACTGCAATATTTAGCATTTGTATTTTTAGGGATAACACAAAAGGTGGAGAGTAACCATTGTTTCGGTATGTGTTCTGTTTTGTATACTGAGTTAAATAAATCTACTATATTGTCTAAGGTTTCATCATTTATGCATTTTAAAATTTCTATAGGGATTTGGTCTATTGCTTTATCATTTTTGCTGTTTTTTAATGCCATTTTAATTTCCTCTTTTAATATCTTTAAAACCATCTCCTCTTCTACATCCATCTTCATCTGCTCTGTTCTATTGTCTTTAAACAGTTCATTGATGTATTCTGTCCATCTCTTCTAATTTGTTGTCAGTATTCAACACAAGTTTCATATTTGCGTCTTTCAGTAATCCTGGTTTTCTTGTTCTATTGTTGTAAGTTAATTTTTTAATTTTTTTATCTGTGTTAAAACTATCATGTCTTTTCTGGTATTCTTCTATTTCTGCACATTGCTCTTTTAACCATTGTTTTTCGTTTTCTTAATTCTGTATTTTATTTTTTTATCCAATTTTTTTTATATCTGATTATCTTTGTTTTATATTGACGTCTTTCTTTTATTAAATCTAAAATTGCTTCCGTCATCCATTGCTTCTTTTTGTTGCCATATATGCCATTGCCATAATTTTTGATTTGTTGTTTTGATTGATCTTCCAAAGTTCGGTGCCGTACAACCCAATACTTTCTATTATTGTTTTATAAATAAATTCCTCGTTTATTCTCTTTTGTTATTTTAATATTTCACAATAGTCCGTGTAGCTGTCTTATGGCTGATCTTGGTTGACCAATCCTAGAATGTGTTTCTTCGTTACTCCCTGCTTTTAATCTTATTTGGACTCCCAAGTATTAAAACTTTCAGTTGATTTTATAGTTTCCATTTCATTTTGTAAGCTTTCTGATTTTTTTCCTAAAACTAAATACTTCGTGTTTTGTATATTACGCCTGTAGTATATATCACTCCTGTCTTCAGCTAGAATGGCTTGGTCGTCAGCAAAGTGTATCATGTACAATCTCTCGTCTTCGATTGGAATGCCCATATTGCAGTATTTTCTTCTTCAAACCAAGAGCGTCTCATTCAGATATATTTTGAAGAGTTTAGGTGCTATGCAGCAGCCTTGCTTGAGATCCTTACTAATAGAAACTTCTCGTTAATTTGTTTCTAGCTGTAATGTTTCCCATCATATTTTTGTAAAGCTTTTGTACTGCTTTTATATAGTTTTTTATTTATTCCTTGTTTTTCCATTGCTACCCAGAGCAATGGAAATCTCTATCTCTTTTTAGCAATCTAATCTCTTTTCAATAACCTGCTTTAGAGAAAATATGCTGTCTATACTTTATTTGCCTGCACAAGTCATTTTGTTCTTCTACATCTGTCATCTCTTTTTCAATGTTATTTTTTATTATTTTTCCATAGAGTATTGAGAGTGAATTTATGGCACTTAGTCCCCTGTAGTTTGAACAGTTCGTTCTATCTCCTTTTTTGTAGACGTTGTTAATATGTACTTTTGTCCACTCTGGTGGTAAGTCATGTCCTTTATAGAATAAGTTGAAGACATATGCCAGTAATTAATTCCCTTAATACTTGTGGGCTGTGTTTTAATAATTCTTTCAGTATACCTTGTGATCCGCATGTTTTCGATTTTTTTTAGACTTCGTATTACATCTTCGACTTCCTGTACTATTATTTCATGGTCTTCATCGTAATCAACTTCATATGTTGTTGTAATGGTGTTCGTGAAATGCGTTCTCTTTTAGTAAGTTGTGAGTAATATTCAATCCAAGATCTTTTTTCTATTAAATCTATTCTGCTCACTTTTTTTCTGTTTTTTTCTCAGGATTTTTTCTGCTTTCCATACTTCTCTTGATCTTGTTGACCCTATATATTTGTTGAACTTTTCGCATTTACTTTCCCACGAAAGATTTTTTGCTTTAGTTACTACTAAAAACTAACTTAAACCGTCTATTTTATTTTTAAGGATAGAAACATTTAAAAGTTTTATATGTCATAAAGTTCATAATTTTTAAAATTGTTTTCACATTTTGCTGATAGAGGAAAAAAGAAGAAGTTTATCGTTTTTGATATTAATTTATTAATAACTAATTAAGTCCAAAAAATCGATTGCCGGGAATGTAGGTTTTTATAACAGAGATCCATACTACCCAAAAAACTGTCATTTGCATGGCCGGTTCAGTGTCACAAACAGGGTACTTTTTGCTTATTTCCCTAGCCTACTAGCCAGAAAACCATACAAACAAGTTTACCAATAGTTTAAAATTTTAAATCAATCGGCTACTTAGACTGGAATACGATGGTTTGTCGGATAGAAATATGGCAGCAGTATGAAAGACATGAGGGCTTGCGGCTCGGTGTTATTCTCCATATATTTCTACCGGAAGAGAGGGTATGGTTAAACAACCGGAATATAGATATTTCTTTATAAAAGTAGTGTAGCAAAATGTCAAACAGAAGTTTCAAATGATAACACAAATAAGAAGTATTTTTTGTTTTAGGACTACTCCTTGTTATTATTCAATAAGTTTGATGGAGAAAGATCACAACTCGAAATAGAGATTACCTTTACTGTAGCTGAGACAAAAGATGTACCAAAATCGGCTATGAAGATTAAAGCTCAGTAAGTGTTTTATTTACTTTTAACATTTACGCATACATAACATATATCACTAAACAGCTAAGACTATTTAGAAACTGCTTAAAATATGCAATAATATCTTTATGATTCCCTTAAATCTAAGAGCCCTCAATATGGTATTATCTCTAACCTTGCTAGTTTCCTTTCTAAATAACACCGTAACATAATACGTCTCACTATGTTCTACTTTCATGTTAACCCATTATGGGTCAGCATCCTATTTGTATATCACTGAAAATTTAATTAAGTATGTATATTTATATTATAGTTTATTCGTCTTCCGGGTTTGGACCGTGTCATTTGTGAGTGACCCAAAAGTGGGTTCATCTCGACGTTTCGCTACAATTGTATGTAGCTTCTTCAGGAGAACAAAGAAAAAGAAAAAGAAATCAAAAAACAGGAAGATGGGTAGTTAGCAACGGTAACTCAGTTACTCAACGCAACCAGAGGCGAATACTAACTACCAAGATGGGCACTTCCGTATATTATATATATATATATATATATATATATATATATATATATATATATATATATATATATATATATAATATATATATATATATATATATATATATATGGAAATATACTTAATTATAATTATAATTTTCTTAAAATGTAGAACTTTAAATGAGGACTCATTCTTGTTTTATTTAAGCAATTCTAACAAAATTACTCATACATCTAAATAGCTGGATATTGGTCGAATGTATTTCATGATTAATCATTAAACATTCATTTACAGGGTGTTTAACATTTGTAGTCTTATTATTGGATTATTCAATGTGTAATCTAAGGCTGATTTTAAATGGAACATCCTGTATATTATTGAATTATTAAATTTAAAAGATTTTGTTAAACAGAAAAGGATTTCAAATATTTTCATGGGCGGATCTAGGGGGGGCACAGGGGGCACGTGCCCCCCGCAAGCCCTCATAAGGTTTGTTTTTTACCGATAAAATAACACTTACAATATTTTAACTACCTTACTGCAAGTAGCTAATAATATCCAAACAGATACATTATTAACGTAAATTCTTGCTACAATAAATCACCACCACTGCTATAAGGTGAGTCGTGAGTCAGCCGCGAGCTGCCTGCCCCAGCTGACTTGACAAGTCCAAGGTTAAAGCCTAAATCGTGTTTCGGCCGGCTTTCTACAGTCGTGGAAATATGAGCAACAGCGCAAGTCAACTGCGCGGAAGCAATCGATATTTTTCGTTCGACCGTTAGTAGTTAGTAGTTGTGTCACTTAAGTCGAGTGAGCTGGAAATACTCATCCGATCTGCCCAACATAACAGTGTTGCTCCAGCTTATTTGCACACTACCTGTGACCAGTAGTACTGCTGAACGATAGTTTTCTACTCTCCGCAGATTAAAAACCTACTTAAGGTCTACCATGACGGAGGAACGACTTAATGGGCTGGCAAGTTTGCACATACACCAGGAAATAGCTTCCAGTTTAGAGCCAGATGAAGTGTTGAAACTTTTTGCAAGGAAGCACAAGCGGAAGTTGTCTTTTTCATTAAATTGAATTTAGTAAATGAATTCCGTATTCATTAAACATGTTTTTACTTTACAGTTTTAATTATTTCAGTTGTTCTTTTTATGTATTTCTTGGTTTTAACAACTGTTCAATCCTGTATATATATTTAACTACATTAATACTTAATAGGCCTATGTAAATAGACTTACCTATTAACTAAAACGGTGTTTTTTTATTTACTGTACCTATAAACAATTTTCATAACGTTATTTTAGACACTAATTGTATTTCAGTTTTTTTGGTCATATAACTTAATTAGTTTAGTAATTGAAAAAATTAAAGTATCACCTAGGTTTATTTCAACATCGAAAAAAGGATAGTGCATTTAAACTACTCTGTTTTAGGCACTGCTCCAAAGAAACTAAACTTCATAAACCCATTAAAAAACACGAATTTAAGAAAAATGAAGTTGCACTTTTTGAACAAAAATGTGCTAAAAACGTTGTTTTCAGAGTCTTAAATTCCAAAAAATTTTCCCAAATTTCCCGAACCTTCCTCTTTCTGGGGGGTTACCCCCCAGACCCCCCAATGGTGCCCCCCCCCAAACATAAATCCTGGATCCGCCCCTGATAATTGATACTTTCGATTTTTAAACCCAACATATTGACATATTGTTGTAAACTAAACCAGTGTAGTTGTAAATACATTTTTTGTAAATAAATTAAAAATTGCTATGTCTTTGGATTTTTATTCGTTGGGAATAGGATAATTAGTATTAAAATATGATGAAAAGAAAATTTAAAAAAATTGTTGAAAATCTGATGTTTTTTAGATTTTCTACGATTTATCAAGTGAAAGGCAACTGCGCTGAGCTTAAAGTTTTTAAAAATGACTTAGATAAAGATAATTCATAATGTCCTGGACCCGACGTAATCGTTTATAAGTGATGTCGATATAGGAACGAAACAATAATATCAGGCATTGCTAAAAACATGCAATTCTCTTCACTGCGTTATCGTAGCGATACAGAGACGAACTAGTTTTTTGCGTTAATATTTTTATTTTTTTTGTGAACAATCGTTTTTAATATTTTATAGTGACGTACTATTTATGTTCAGTGCGTTTCAAGTCGTTCTTAACATTTTAGAGTGAGATCTTAAAAATTTAAGTTAAATTAATTTATTTTAATATTTTTTGCAAATAACTTATGTTTTGTACATTTACTTAGGACAAATTAATGAATTAAAAAAATTCACTTTTAAAAGTGTGTAAAGTATGATAACTTTATTGTTTATTTTAAAATTTTTTGCAAAGATTGATATGTTTTGTAAATGCTTATGATAAATTAATGAATTACAATGAAAAGTTCTTTAAAAGTATGTTAAGCATTTAGTTTCTAGAGTGTATAAAGCCAAAGTTGCTCAGCTAGAAATTAAATGCTTTACACACTTTTAAAGTACTTTTTTTTCTTTACAGTTCTTTTTTTTTGTAAATGTTTTTCTTCACCATAACTAATATTTAACATTTTATTTATTATTTAAAACCTAGCGGTTTTACAGGGAAAGTAACAATGGAAAAATAGTCATGGACAAGGGAGGCAAATTATTTTTAACGTTTATTTATTTATGAAACGGGAAAAAGATTTGGGAGATTGCACAACTCATTTACCCCTAATAGTGCGAGTGGCTCAAGCAACTGGTACCTCACAGTGTACAGCAACTGGTACAGTGAAGAGGATAATTAAGGAAGCAAGCCCAGCCCCAAGTTATTAGTACAGTACGGCCACTCGGATTTACGTTTATCACCATATCATCCGAAACTTAACCCAATTGAAAAGATATGGGCCATTTTAAAAAATGAAGTTGCAGCAAGAAGCACGACATTTAAATTAGCAGATGTTTTAGAACTAGCAAAAATCAGGCTAAATGAAATCACGCCAGAAATATGGGCAAATACTTGCAGGCATGTTGATAAAGTAGAAGAAGAGTACCTCAGCCGAGAATACATTCTGGATAAAGCACATAAAATCATTATAAATTTAGATGACGATAGCGAACGACCTATAAATACAAACTAGTCAACGTCACAAGCTCGGTGTTCCATCCCTCCATGTACATTTTTTAGTTCTTTTAATATTTTATTAATTATTTTATTTCTTATTTAGTTTTAATTGACTTGTATGTGTGTGTCTTATCGTGCGTAACCTAATATTCCGTCTCCATGTAGTTGCTGCATTAATTTTCTTAAATACTTACTACTCCGGTTGCACAGTCACATTGAGTATAAAATATCAGTACCATCTAGAGAGTGTCATATAATCCCTTAAAAGTAAATAGTTTATCACCCTCCATCCAAGTGCAAGAACGAAATTCCACAGTTCAGTCCAGCGCACTGGCGAGAGAAGAAGACATTTAAAAACACAGACAATTTAAATAATTGATAACTTTGTATTTAAGTTATTTCGTCTTAAAACATAATACCAGCAGAAGTGGTTCTAATTTATTTAAACAATAATTGTTTTTAAACAAATTCTATAGATCAATTTCATCTGCCCGGACAAATTTATTTTCGGTCTTTTGGATCATTCTAAATAAAAAAGGGATATTGTAATTTTTCTCTAAAGTTGATCGTTTTCAATTTATACAATTTAAAACGAAAAAAAAAAACGAAAAATGATGATTTTTAAAGCTCAAAAACACACAATTATTTTTGCATTCGCCAAACCTTGTTCTATCAGTTTCTGATACTTTAGTTTGGGCTTATTTGATTTTAAAACATTGTTTTTAGTTATTTGAGGCCCTTATCACAACATAAAAATGGATTTATACAAAACTGTTTAATAAATTAGGATCACTTTTTGTATGGGCGACCTCTTGAACATTATTCTGCGGTCTTTTACGAAAGTGATTATGTAAAAAATGTCTTGCGAATATTTTTCCCAATGAATTCGAGGTTTTCGTCTCGTATAAACATATTTGGCTAAATTTAAAACCAAAATCCTATTATTTTTCTATTATACATTAATTTCTTATTTATTTATCCTTTAGATTTTTTCAGTTCTTAAAAGGTTTATTTACAAGCCAAATTAGTGCTATGTCAATATTTTAAATTTTTACACAGCAATTTTTATCGGCAGTGAAGACGGGAAGTCGTAAATTTTTATTACATCTTTCAATGTGATATACAATAAAAATGCGATGACTAACTGGAGTGTTTAAGATTAGAGAAACATAATATATCATGTTTATTGGAAATACTTGACATCATTAGCACGTGCAAATCCTACCCTGTCGCCCAATTTCCTATGAAATTAAAATGGTGCATGTTTTTAGGATCCATTTATTTTTTCGGGCATGCGTATTTACAAGGTTCCCGAGGATTTGAAACATTGCTACTAACGTTATGTTTAATTTTTTGTACCTATTATTTTAAGTATTAAAATAAGTTTAATATTTAAATGAAAATAAAACTTTGAAGTCATAATAATAGATTTACC